AGCGTGGATGGTGGAAGGGTTTTGGTAGCACATAGTGTCTATGAGCTTTCAAAACATTTGGGCTCTTTGTCAGTCAGGAGGGGTGTGGGCCTCTGTTTTACAGCGTTACGTTTCCTTACGAAATGACCCTTCTGGAGGGAAACACCGCAGGATACCGCGGCTGGGGAGACCCATAGCAAGACTCCCAAGCGATAGGCACCGGTCAGACTATTTGTGGGTTGCCCTCAAAGGATATCTTTGTAAGCACTTTGACATGATGTTCCACCCTCAGTCAGGTGAACTATCCTTCCTTCAACCAGTTGCCACAGTTCTAAGGAAGTACTAGTCCACGTTCTGCCCTACATAAGGCGTGTATAAGCTTTCATATAGCACCTGGCTGTTCACTGATCCACGCAAACGTTCACTGTGTCAGAAGATACTCAATTTTGCGTTCAGCAACCCAACACCTAAGAGTCGTAGCGATTGGCGAAATCCCCAAATGGCCTAGGAGCGATTTTGTCCCATTCAGCGGTACCGTTTTTTTCGTCTCTTTCTTCACTACTATCTGAAAAAAAAATCAAAATATTTATTATAGAGTTCATAGGAGAATGCGCTAATGTTTTCCATCAAGGCAAACTATGGATTCTCGGTCTTCCTAGATTAGAAGCACTTTCGTCACATTGTGACAGCCATTTTTCCGGCTCAACAATAACAAAACTGAATCCTGTTTTGGTGAAAACTGAAACGCCGTCAACGGACGGAATCACTGATCACCCGAGATTCAATATTTGTAAATAGGATTTTGCGGAGATAAATTGAATTTCTAGCCAAAGCTATCCAGGTGTAAGGAATCTCTTTCATACACTTCGACACAGCGAAGGTTCACGCTAGTAGCTCGACTAAACTATTCTACGAGCGCTCAGGAGGACCTTTTTCGTTGTGAGCGGCTCCCCCTCTCCCCTTGACTTTTTTGATTCTCTCTGCATAAATGGTGGCATTTCTAAATGCGAATATTTCGAAAGGAAAAAAATACCCGAGTCATCAACAAACGTCCTTTGAAGCATGATCTACATAATAAATGTCTAATATATTAATCTCGGCTTACGCTAATCCCCTTTAATGTCGCTTAGAGCGCAATTCTAATAACCCAAATTTAGCCTTATGAGTGGGCTGTGAGGTTTGATTTCTTCTCAAAGTTCGTACTGAGGAACTCATGTAAGCTTGCCGATGTGTTCCGTCTCACAGGAGATCGAGGAGAGTAATGCCGAAAGTTTGGCACAATAGGGAGAGGTGAATATTTCACAGTGGTCTCACGCCAGCCGTTCTCAGTTTGAATTACTTCCGGTGGAGTAGTTTCGCTAACACTGAACATATGCGGAAGCACAACAACAAGGTGTGAAATACGAAGAGTTCCGCAAAATGCCCAACCTTTAAGGAACTTGAGGGATAATGAACCCTCGTGGCTTGAATCAGGCCCCCGGACGATCACTTCCGAAATGGGTCAAGCTCCCAGCACCTGGATTGTAACCTCGCCGTGTTCTGGGCTAAGAGCACGGTTCCCATGGGGAGCCGTTTTTGAGCGAATTGGCGAAGCGACCTTCTCGCACTATCTCTAGGAAGTTTTCAGCTCTTCTTGTTATCGTAGTCTTGGGAAATAACGTTATTCCACTTCTTCCGTTATCCTTTCTCCGGAAAATGATTCACACGTGGTTACTTCTAGAGAATTTTATGGGTGCACTAATTCCAAGTTTCGAGTTCGTAGACAAAAATAGTAAAATTGAGTAGATATATAGTAAGTAGGGAAAGTAAGTATAGACATTAGACGCTCAAAGGGGAATAAGAAGGAGAAGTAAATAAGTGTTCATTCATTTTTAATTATCCAACTGAACATACTCAACACACATTTTATAACTCCAAGGTGTGGCTATTGTGCTCGAACACGAGTATGGAAGTAAAAAGTAGGGTATGAGTGACAAAAAATAGAAATGAATCGCAGAGAATGCTAGATTTCAATGGCGCGGGATTAAATTCGGTGCTACGAGAGAAGGGGCAGGGGCGCCGCGGGGGGAGGGGAGTGTATATGATGTAGGTTGCAAGAGCATTCACTGGTGAAGTGGTGTAGTTCGCTCCACACGTGTATGCGGGTCGCGGGATCAAATTCTCTGGGTCGTGAGTCGCCCGGGCCAACTAAGCCTTCCATCCCTCCAGGGTCGGTTAATTGGGACCAGACTTGTCTGGGAGGATAAAAAAAACACTGACTTTTACATCGGCTGGGCCCCGCAAGTCATTGTATAGGCCACATCGCATTTCTCAATAATCGTCACGCGAGTACAAATGATTAAGTAGTACATCGCAATAGCCGATCCCATAAAAGGGAATATTTGGCCCATGCAACGGCAAAGCTTTCTAGTCCTTATTATCCTTTTAAAATGAGATACTCATGCGACGAGGACGCCGAGTCTTCGCCCAATAAAGCCGAGCTATTACTGAAGCACAGAGATCAACGAAGGATCTTCTCATCTCTACTTTCGAGCTCAGACAGCAGAGCGAACTGTGTGAATACCTCCATCCTTTTTGTGGAAACGATATATACGGAATACGCGTTCAAATTACCGTCGCCACTAAGATCTCATGCTAAGAGATAACGCGGATGATGTCGCAAATAGTACGCGACAGGTTCCTCTGTGTTTCGCTTATTAGGAGGAAAACAGTGTTGTCAAAGGTGAGTTCAACAACACCGTCCTCTCATCTAGCTCTCTCCAATCAGGTTTACTATAAAAATTGGTAATTAGTAAACCATGTTTGCGATCAGTTTTCTATATACTCGTACGACAATACCGGTGACAATCGAGCCAGTCAAGATTTCTGCACCGCAGTTGCCTGTAAATTCGAAAGAGATTCTGAATAAAAAAAAAGAAGATGCTAAATGCGGTAATTGGAATTATACCCCAATCAGCAAAAAAAGGTATATGGAACCAGTCACCATCAATATTAGTAATGACACTTTCGGGAATTTTTGAGCACCTTATTGTCTTTCTTATAACATCAGGCTGAAATTTTTCGGACATGGTTACTGCGGATACGACGCGCGCGGTCCAAGGAACAAGTCCGCCAAGGAGTTTGTGGTGAACGCCAATTCTTTGCCTTCAGTCGTTTAGCAGGTCAGTTCCTCCAAGATGTGACCCAACAACGCAAGGGTTCTGAGTAGTGTGTATGCAGCTTTTTATGTGGTAGGGGCATGGTCGAACTCAGCGACGTTATTATATCGTTACCGTATGTCACGATAGAGTACTGTTTGCTTTGTGAGAGACCAATTTGGGAGCATCTTCAGGTGATGTTAGCACTTGGTAGGTTTTATTCTTGTTGTTATCCCACTACTTTGAAATTCAAAAGTGCGAAAGCATCTCCTGGCAGAAGCTATGTTAAAACGAAATATGCACAAAAACTTTATAAGATTTTTGCAAATCTCCCCTGTTTTGATAAAACTTTGGACAGGTAGAGATAAGTGAAATAGATGAAGTACCTTCTCCCATATACCTCGTTTGTAATTGATGACCAGGGCCAATGATTATACTGTAGTAGATCTGGAGCAATTATGATTTTTGCTTAGGAATAAATTTGGTAAGGTCAAGTGTTTCATAGCTGCTCACATAGCTGCTCAACTCGGCCAATCTCCCGGCTGTGTTGATTTTATGAGAAAGCCAGCTTGTAATGGGGATCAGAGAATCATTAGAACGCACAAGTACATTCGAGCACAAAGAACACCATATCCAGCAATTTTCCAGTTCTTCCACGTCAGTCAGCCAAATCCGGCATGAGTTTCCTTTTTCCGTATCAAAAATAAGCATCCTGAGACCTGCCAACTCAACTGCAGATATTGTGCAAGACCCACGAAAAAAGCCCCTCAACTGG